GCACCAGGGAGCTTAAAGTATTCAGCCAAAGTACACAGGAATTATTTGGAAATCGAGACATTCCTGTCCATCCCCGCCCCTCGTGATCTCAGCTTTGCCTTAATCTATAGCCGTGCCATTTCAGCAATGCCATAACTGGCGAATAAAAAGCCCTTCCCTTGTGTGTTGTGCACCAAGAAAGGTGAGGTTTCTTTCTCATCCTAATATTTTCTTTTTTTAACTATGTAGGCAAATACAACTTTGATCCAAAGGGCAAAGATATTTTCCCCCTCTCCGGAAGCGATGGGGAGCGCAGCTATGCTCGCATTGCACAGTGTCTCTTCTGTTTCTTCATGACAGAAGTTTTCTAATCAAAAGCAGATAGATGGTTAGTGTGTGTTTTGGGACAACGCATCCTGACAAGTCTTCGTGCTGGGAAACAGATGAAATACCTGACAGATTTCACAAGCAGCTGTAAGAAAACTACACAGATGAGCCCAAGCCCAACACCCTTCCTCTCCCTGGCCAGGCCTTTGCCTCTATCGGACTGTTTTTAGGGGTGTTTGGCCCCTGCGTCACACTTGGGTGCTCAGACCCATCTCTACCAACCTGCAGAGGAATTTGTTCCCCTTCACTTATGCTCTCCCTGCAGCTTCCCAGGTGCGGCCATTGCCAGCAGCGGCCAGCCATGAGCAGGAGGGCTGGGCAGCCCCCCTCCCAGTTCCCTGGCAGGAGCAGTGGAAGAACCTCTCCAGGCATGGGAAACCTCCCAAGGGAGCTGGGATGGGGTTTATTCCCAGCAGCTTGGGTCACCGAGCACCCACCCGGGAAAATTATTTGCTGAATTAATGCGCACAACAGAACCGGGTGTATGAGCAGAGGAAGGAAGAGAAGGAGAAAGGGTGGTTTAAGGAGTTCCCTCAACATTTTTGAAAGCAGTCCTGGCCTGGCTATTCTGTCCCTTTAGGAAGGGCCTCTTCACTTTATTACAAGCAGGAATTCATGCAACAGCTTCAGCTGGTTATCAGTAATCTCTTGCATAGTCATAGGTGCAGGGGGGATATTAAATTCTCAAAACTTTCTGGCAATATCATGATCTGACTTGAAGCTGTGGTGTCTTTGGAAATGAGATTGGGCACGATCTATGCTCTCCAGAGGTCTTCATGCCAGAAAAGGGATCAGGCTACAGGTTTCTGTGCATATTTCAATATGCTGAAACATTCCTTTACCCTAATTCTTCAATGTGGGAGACCTAAGCAAGTGATTTTTCTGTCCTACGCATATGCATGGTTGCAGGATAAACTAACTGGAAAAGTCAGAGGAAACCTGATGAAACTCTGGAGCACGAGGCAATGTAAAATACCGGGATAAAGGGCTCAGCATTGTGTCTTTTTCCAAAAGCCAAGGATCTTCAGCAGAGCAGAAACAATGTCCTGAAGCACTG